CCCGSTGCGCCGAACGTGCGGCGCGCGCTGTTCCCTGGCCGGGGGGCGCGCGCGGCCGCCGCGTGGGGAGCGTCACGTAGGCGCGCGGCCGGGGCGGGGGGGAGCGGGGCGGCGCTGAGGGGAGCGCGGGGCGACCGAGACGGCCATGGGGCGGCCATGGGGTGTGAGGGGCAGCTGTGGGGTGTGAGGGGCAGTATGGGGAGTTTGTGGGTTTGGGGGCGTCTCCCAGCCCCGCAGCTGCCCCCTTCATCCCTCAGGCGTCTCCCAGTTCCATCCCAGSTCCCTGCGGCWCCAGGCCGGACATGGGGCACCTGCSTCCTTCCACACCCCTAAAAGCCCCCAAATTTAACTCTTTAGGGTGACTTGGGAGCCCAAGCGGCCCTGGGAGGAGGGGACGACCTGGGCTCCACATCCTATGGGATGTGCTGTGTGTTCACTAGTTGCTCCACCTTTGTATCCCATCTTTTCATCTCTGTGTGATGAAAATAAAAAGGCAGACAGCATTAAGAAATACCAGAGTCCTAATACGGACAGCACAGGTTAATAAAAAAACTAATAAAGGCAGCAAACGATAACCCAATCCTTTCTGAAAACTTCTTTTTCGCAAACGCTCACTTCTACATCAGCACTTTAATAGTAAGTGGTAAATAATAATGAAAATGGTAAAAAAAAAAATAATGTTTTTTTTTCCCCCCATGCACATTGGAAATGGGCCCAGGGTTTATCTCTTGTCTGGTTAATGTGTTGAAGCAAATTGGCCTCCATGGAGGTCTTAAAGGTGAGAGCCAGAGTGGACCTGGAGGGAGCATTGCTGCCAGGGGAAAGATATTCTGCTTTTAATTTCCTTACCCCCCCCTAAAATGAAAAGTTAAAGGTAGTGATGGGCACTGCTGCTGATAATCTTTAATGTAAAAGCATTAAGGTCGGCTGGCTTGGGCCATTAGGCGTTAAATAGGAGGGAAAATCAAGTTTTAGCCCATTGCTGGTGATTTAGGGCAGGGATCTTCCTTGCTTGTTGTTCACCCTGCTTCTAGATATATAATAATAATTTTTAAAAAATCAAGAATTAAAAAAAAAAAAAACAAGAAAAAAAAACATGTAATACACTTATCTGAGTATTTTCCCCCAAAATGCCCCGTGGGGCTACAGTGATGTGAAATATCACAGTAATAAAAAAACACACTGGGTTGCAAGTTGCCCGGTTTGCAATCGGCTCCTGTTGGAGCAGAAGAAAACATCAATTTATTATTAATTTTTCAGCATGGAAAGCAGCGCCAGCCGCGGCTCATTCCTGGAGACGCCGGCTTCATTTCCCGCTCTCCAAAGTGGGGGRAAAAAGCGGCTTTTGTCCCGTTTTTGACAGCGAACGGCGACAGAGTTGGTTTAATTCCCTAGCTAGGAAGGGGCTGCAGCCGGCGAGCTCGGGGGACGTAAAAAAAAAAACAAGTAGAAATAAGAATTAAAAAAGGAAAAAGAAGGAAAAGCAATAAAAGGGATAGGGAGCTGTAAAGGGGGTAGGAGCGCTGCCCGCTCGCGGGTTTGGGGCACGGTGCCCAGGGGGCGACAACCGCGTCGCTCCCCCTTAAAAATAACGAAAAAACCCGTGAAATGCCCCAGAAAGGCATGGGAGGAGGAGGAGGAAGGAGCCAAGGGGGCGGTCGGCGCGGGCCGGGGGGCGGCGGCGGCGGGGCCAATGCGCAGGAAGGGGCCGAGCGTGAGCGGGGCTTGTTTACAGCCGCGCCGCGGCCCCGGGAGCTTTAACCGGCCGGCGGCGCCGCGGGCGCGGTGAGTGCGGCGGCAAAACGGGGGGGAACGCAAAAAAAAAAAAAAAAATCAAAAAAATCTATATTTTTTTTTTTAAAAAAAGGCCCTTTCTTTTCCCTTTTTTTTTTTTTTTTTTTTTTTTTTGCAATGCGCGGCCACGTGCAACGGCGGGTTGCGCGGCTTGGGAAGGGGCGCGCGCGTGGCGGGTGTCGACCGTGGCGGGTGTCGCGCGTGGCGCTTGCCGCGCGGGGCGGCCGCGCGCGCGTGTGCCCCGCGGGGGCGGCGCGCGCGCGGCCACGCGCGGCCCGTGGGCACGGGGAGGAAAGGGGTGTTCTCGCCGCGTATGCGCGCGCGGAGGCGCGTGTTTTTATGGGTGTCCGTGTGTATGTGGCGTGAAACGGGCGCGGGGTGCGGGCGGGCCGCGCTGCGGGCGCCTCCCCGGCGCGCTCCGTTCCCGATCCCGGACGGGATCCAGGCCGGGAGCTGCGGGCGGCCGCGTACGTGCGCGGCGGGGCCGGGCCGCGCCGGACGCGGGATGGGGAAGGGGGATTTCAAAACACGGCGCGGAGCGCGGGAAGGCGCGGACGGGAGCGCGGCCGCTGCAGGGGTAGGAGCCGGGCCCGGGGGGGGGGGTGGTCGCGGCTGCGCTTCCCGCCCCCCCCGCGCCGCTCCCTCCCGTCCCTCCCGCGCGTGCGCAGTGGGAGCGGCTCCGTTTTTGGGGGGGGTTCCCCCTGCACATGCGAAGTGCACGTGTGCAAGGGACGCACATGCACCGCACACGTGCTTGCATGCRTGTGCAAACTGCACGTGTGCACTTGCAAAATGCGCAGCACATGCGTGTGCATGCTGCAAATGCACATACGTGTGCGCACAACTAACGTGTGTGCACACGTGTGTGTCGCTGCACAACATGCATGTGCATGCACGGCATGTACACGCATGTGCAACTTGCCTTGYGCATGCATGTCACACTTGCACGCTGTGCATGTGCAGCACATGCGTGTGTGCCCATGTGCACACGCACGTGTGCACACCTCACACGTGCCACATTCCCTGTTGCAGCGATGCCCACGTGTCCTAACTACCCGCAGGCCCTGCTTTTTGCAGGGATTGGGATCCGGACAGGCCTCCCTGCCCGTTTGCACGCACTCGATTCCCGCTGTTCTGTCCCTGTGCAGGAGCTCCGGCATCTCCCATGGCTCCGGCTTGCAGGGAGCTGCCGCCTTTTCCTTCCTGACCTCCGCCGCCTTAACCCCTTCGTGCCCGGCTTTCCCGCTGCCTCTTTTCCCGGAGAAGCAGTCCAAAACACTCATTATTAAAACTGTGTTTTGCTGCTAGTTGTCCCAAGAGCTTTTGCCCGGAAGCGGCCGGGCTCCTTTGCGGGGATTCGGGAGCCTGCGTTTGCAGGGCGGTCGGCAGCACTCCAGACCGCTCCGGGAGCTGAAATCCCTGTTGGAAAAGCCGGACGTGGTCGCTGCGTCCGAGCGGGGCTGGAGTGAATCGTCTGCAGCGCCGAGTTTGTCTCTTTGGAATAACCTGGGTCCGGATTTGCAATGCAAGAGCATTCCTGCCTGTTGCACGCATTTCTTTTGAATTAATGCATTTATGGGTGTTTTCCACATGGGAGCGGGTAAATTCGCTGCTGCTGTTTCCCTTTGGCCATTGGAGCCTTTTTTTGGGGGGAAAAAAACCCAAATGTAGCAACAAAGCCAGCAGAGCACAGGCAAAACGCAGCTGGTTTTTAGCTCTTAAATAGCCCTTAAACCCMAGCAGCACCTCCCAGGGTGCCGGGACACCGGAATTGAGGCGAAACTGCTTGGAAAATGCTGCTGACGGCAAAAAAAAAAGAGGGAAAAAAAATCCCTTGGCTTTTGCAAGGGGTATTTTTAGCGGGGCCGCCGGGTCCCGGGCGGCTCCGGGCACGTCCCGCCGCCGCGGTTGCCGCCTCCTCTTGCACAAGGAGCCGGCGCTCGGGCTCTCGCGCTAATCCCGGCGCTGGCAAACGCCCCGGGCCGGGAATAACGCCGGGAATGTAAAAGCGCGGGAAGCAGCTGGCCGTGCGCGTGGTTGCAAACGCAGTGGAGAAGCATTTTGGGATGAAAACGTTTTGTTTTTAAGGAAAGTAAAAAGTGGGGATATTGCAGCTTRGCCTCCACGCGCCCCCCTGGAACTCCAGGCTGGATCGGAGGGAATTTAGGGAAAAGCAGCAGGGAGGTCGGACAAGTTGAGGGAGCAGCAGCCGCGCTCTGAGCCGGGCCGGGGTGAACAGCAGGGAAATAGGAGCCAGGATCTGGATCGCTCCAAAAAAGCAAAGGCGGGAGGTGGCAGCGAGGGCAGCCCGGCCTGGGAGCGGATGAAAGGGGCCGTGTTTCCCTGCCGGAGACTTTCCTCCCGTTGGGAAATCCCGGGAGGCGGCTGGGCCGGAGCCAGGAGCAGAGGTCGGGCTCCAAGCGGCTCCGTCGCCACATGTCGGGATCCTCCTCCGGAGGGCTGTGTCCAGGGGCAGCAAAGCCAAGGTCCTGCTCCGCTGGGAAGTGCCCTTGGGAAGGGGATCCCAGCCGCGCGCTGGGATTTGCGGGAAGCTGCCGGTTTCTTGCTGCGTTTCCGTGGGCTTTGTCCGATCCGGGTCCCAGGCGCTGCCTGGACGGGTGGCACTGCCGTAGGAGCCCTCCGAAGCTGCATGCGGAGGCGGTGGCAGGAGCAGGGAACATCCATGAGGATCAATCCTATCCCTACGCACAGTGGGGTCCTTGGAGTGGGAGACATGGTGGAAAAGGGGAGACTCGTTTGGAGCGGGGCTCGCTCTTCCCGAGTGTCCCTCAACTGCGGAGCTGGGGGTGTCCCCTGGGAAGGGGCAGGAGCAGGGAGAGGCTCCCGGAGAGTGGCCGCATTCTCCGGAATCCTGCGTCCTCCGGAATCCTGCGTCCTCCGGGATCCTGCTTCCAAGTGGCTACAGGGGAGACGGAGCGTCCGGGACGCTTCCTCCATTGGGAGCTCCTCATGGCTCCGGGAGGTGACTCCCATGGCACTAATAACTCCCGATGGATTTCTCCTTCGGGGCCATCCTCCTCTCCACCTGAACCCACTAGGGTCCGAAGGCTGGGAGGCTCCCAGAGGCTCCCGGTTGCCGGGAGCACTGGAGCCACATTCCAGGCTCAATCCCCACGGCCCCTGTGGCCCTGATCCCGTTAGSCCAGGGAAGGCTGCTCCCTCCTGAGGTGGATTCATTTCCATCGATGGAAACAGGCGTGTGGATGCTAGTGGTGGAAAACAGTGAGGGAAATGGAGACAATCCGTGGCAGAGGTGAGGCGGGAACGTCTCCCACTTGCTGGAAGAGCAGCACATGGAGAAGATGGGGAGCAACTTGGGCTCCGTTTGTCAGGAAAGCTCTATTCCCGTCTCTCCAAAGTCGCGGTGCCCGGAGACGTGGCCGCCATCCGGTCGAGGCCGTCCAGAAGCTGCAGGTTCCCAGCACCGGGAATGTGTCCCGGCGCGAGGACAGGGCTCGCGTGGCACCATCCGGAGCATCCTCCCGTGGGAGCAGGAGGAGGAGGAGGAGGGCCGGGAGGCGAGGCCGAAGGCGCGGGGCCGAGGAGCGGCACCACAGCCCCGCTCCGACGGCCGCGTCCCGTTGTGTTTCGCAGGTTGTCGGCGCGTGCAGCGGCCGGGAGCTCGGCGAGGGCGGCCGCGCGGCCGCTTCCCGGCACCATCGCCGTGCCCAGCAGGTGGGTGCCGCGGGGTTATCCCTGGGAGCGCGGCTCCGTGCCCCTTCCCTGCCCCTTCCTGACGCCTCCGCTGCCGCTGCAGGACGGGCGCCGCCGCCGCGGACATGGACGAGATGGTGGCTGCCATGGTGCTGACGAGCTTGTCCTGCAGCCCGGTGCTGCAGAGCCCCCCGGCCGGCGACAGCGGCGGCCCCCGTGAGTCCCCCCGGCTTCGTCGCGCGCGGGAGCCCCCAAGCACCCCACATCCACACACAGAAACTTCCCGCTGGGAAGCGGAGACCGGGGCAGCTCCCAGYGCTGCTCCCTGCCTCCTTTTGCCCTTGCCCAGCACAGCCTGGGGGTTTCCCGGGCGGATAATCCGCGTGTGCCGGGCAGCCCCGCGTATTCCCAAGCGGCTTCGGAGTCCCCGGCGGGGCGGCCGCTCCTTTTTATAGAGGAGGTTTCATTCCCCGGGAGTCAGCGGATAAAAATAGCAGGCGGCAGCCGTGGGAAATGCCGGCTGCAACTGGGGAACACCGGGAAGCCGGATTGAGGGAGGCGCCGAGCCGGGTTTGGCCTCGCTGCCAACCACCCATTCCTGGGAGGGAGAAGGGCGATCCTGGACCCTTGCCAATGTGGAAAAAAATCTTTCCATTTGTATTGTTTTATATAATTGCTTATTAACTTATCTGTGTGTGTCTCAGCGTCGCGGGCGCCCTGCGACCCCTGGAAGGAGAGCGGCGACGTGTCGGACAGCGGCAGCAGCACCACGAGCGGGCACTGGAGCGGCGGCAGCAGCGACGCGTCGGGCGCCGGCGGCAGCCCCAAGCACTCGAGCGAGGCGCCGGGCTCGCCGCCCCGCGACGACGGCTTCGACACCGACTGCGACCCGCTGCTGCTCGCCGAGCCCGCGCCGCGCAAGAGGAAGGTAGGGGCTTGCGCCGGGGTGCGCGCCGGTGCCCGCCGCCCGCGCCGCTCACGGGCACCCCTCTCGCCGCGCAGAACTCGCTCAGGGTGCTCTACAAGTGCCTGTGGCCCGGCTGCGGCAAGGTGCTGCGCTCCATCGTCGGCATCAAGCGGCACGTGAGGACCCAGCACCTCGGGTAGGTGGCCTCCTGCAGCCGCCCCGCGCGCTTCCCCGCGGATCCGGGTGGGAAGAGGGGCCTGGCCYGTGCACCGCATTCCTCCTCGGGATAAAGGCCCTTATTCCGCCGCTGTGGGTTTCCCAAGGGCTTTTCCACACGGACATTCCTGCAGCGGCCGCCCCCTCTAGTGGCTCCGAGGCTGCCRCGCACGGGGCCCTGAGCCATGGTCATGGGGAAGGTGGGATCGGCTGCAGTTGCTCAATCCTTGTTTTTTTTCCCTGTTTTTCGCCGCCGCAGTGACGGCGCCGACTCGGAGCAGCGCAAGCGGGAGGAGGACTTCTACTACACGGAAATGCAGGTGAAGGAAGAGGCCGCTGTGGAGCCGACCGCCAGCCCCACGTCGCCGTCGGCCCCCGCCGGCCTGCAGGGCAAGCTGGAGGTGCCGCTGCCGGAGGCGCCGCTGCCGGAGGTGCCGGGCAGCGCGCTCAGCCAGTCGGCGCCCAGCTCCTTCTGGCACATCCAGGCGGATCACGCCTACCAGGTGAGCGGCGCCAGCAATTCCGGTGCCGGCGGAATGCAGCCCGCCCCGGCGGGCGCGGTACCACGCGCCTGGAATGCGGCCCYGCTGCATCCCGGCCGACAGCTCGCGGGCTCTTGAGGCACGGAAAACCTGGAGACGCGGAGCCATGGCTGTGCATCTCCATCCTATCCCATGGCGCCTCTCCGGCGTCCCGCGCATTCCCAAATGCTTAAGGGCCAGGGATTTTGGGAAGCCTGGCAGGAGCTGGTCCCGGCGGTCCCCGAGCCCCTCTCGTCTGCGCCGTCCTGAGCGCGGCCTCAACCGCATCCCCCTCTCGTCCCGCAGGCCTTGCCCTCCATCCAGATCCCGGTGTCCCCGCACATCTTCACCAGCATCAGCTGGGCCACGGCCACCTCGACGCTCCCGTCCCTGTCGCCGGTGAGTCCCGTGTGCCCTTGTGCCTTGGTGTTGGCCATGGCTCCATGCTGCTTCCCTGCAGTGCCYGGGGACGCCGTCCTCCTGGTCCTGCGTCAATTTTGATGTTTTTTCGTGCTCCCACAGGTTCGGAGCCGCTCGCTGAGCTTCAGCGAGCCCCAGCCAGCGACACCGCTGCTCAAGTCCCACCTGATCGTCACGTCCCCACCCAGGGTGTCCCTCGGCGCCAGGTGAGAGGCTACCTGCCCCGTTCGCAGAATCCCAGRATGGCTGAGGYTGGAAGGGACCCCCAGGGCTCCCCCAGCGCAGCCCCTGCTCCAGCAGGGACACCCAGAGCACGGGGCACCCGGGCGCATCCCGGCGCGCTGGCAGATCTGCAGAGCAGGAGCCTCCGCAGCCTCCCTGGGCAGCCTGGGCCAGGGCTCGGGCACCCTCCCACCAAACAAGTTCTTCCTCACGGCCACATGGAGCTGCCTGCGCTGCAMCCTGCACCCACTGCCCCTTGGCCTGCCCCTGGCCACCACCCACCAGAGYTTGCACCTTCCTCCCTCCATCCTCMCCTCAGRTTCTTACACACATTGAYCAGGYCCCCTCTGAAGCTATTTAATTCCCTGGGGTGCCCCCTGGGAGTGCCAGGCRTGGGGCACATCCAGCCCATGACACACTGGGAGTGGCTGCTGGAGCAGGAGGCCTCTCCCGGTGCCGCATCCGCAGCCCGGGACCTGCCCATGGCATCTCCCCAGCTCCCTGCAATAAACCCAGGCGAYCAACAGGTCGCCTTGGGAGCTCCAGGGGACACCGCACTGGGAAGCGGCTGCTCCGCTTCTGTTCTTCTCACACCGCCCTCCTTCCCTGCGCCAACTCTGCTCCTGCTCCATGGCCTCCGTGGTMTCCCAGTGTCCCAACTCGGTGCTGGGACACAGTGCTCCTTCCTGCCCCCATGTTGGTGGTATCGTGGGGTCTCCAGCTCCTTGTTGGATCTTCACCCACCTGCTCAACACCTCTGGTCAACATCTCAACTCCTGAGCAGGTTCTGCTGCTCCCAGCTTGGGACACGCATTGGGATCCGTAGGCTGCTCCGGGAAGTTGCTTCCCTACATTGCGCTCTCCCTTAGGGCTGTTAGACCTGGGCTTGAGCACAAGGCCCTTCAAGAAGCCCCATGTCCCACGTGGGAAACCAGARCAGTTTTCCCCCCGCTATGTATTGCTGCCTTATTAAAAGGTAGGTCAGTCCCATATCTCAGCTCGGGGCTTCCTAAGATGCCACTCGGCTTTGGRTGACGCGTCGTGGGCCCTGCCGCACGGGCAGCTGTTCCCTGCACCGAGCCGTTGCGTTTCCCTCGCAGGAAAGTCCGCGGAGAAGCCAAGAAGTGCCGCAAGGTCTACGGCATCGAGCACCGGGACCAGTGGTGCACGGCGTGCCGGTGGAAAAAGGCTTGCCAGCGATTCCTGGACTGAGCCCACGGGGCGCCGCGCCGCTCCCGCTGCCAGCGCCCACGGAGCGCCCGCGCCGGCAGCACCGCAGCYGGGACCTCGCCGGTGTCCCCTGCGACACCAGAAGGGACCTCAAGAGCCGCCTGTAAATCCCCCCCCTTCTGTATATTGTACATCTGCTGGGTTGGTTCTTTACCTTTTTACCTTTTTCCAGATTTTTTTTTTTAACCAGAATGATGAAAATCTCCCTTTTTACCATAAAAACAGGGAGGGGGCAACGTGCGGGAGGAAGCTGGTTGTTTGGTGCTCAGGAGAGCTTAGGTGTGATCTTGGGACCAAAGAGCTTCCCGATTTTTCCCAGATCACCGCTAAGAATCGCCTGGATTTCCTAGGATGAGGYGCCGAGGCAGCTTTCCCTGGCCCTACCTAGAAAGTGCAAATCCCTTACGGGACAGCACTGGTAACGTGCAGAGCTTTAAAACAAAAACGGGCAGGTTGTTGCTAGCAGCACACAGATGATCCTGACGGCAGGAATGGGAGCTCTAGGCTCATGTCCCACGGTCCTCACTGCGTCTTTTGGAGCTAGGCTAAACCAAAATAACTGTTAAAAAGCATACAGTTCTTTTTCCCTAAGCGGGTCAAAGCGGCCCCAATTCAGCCACACTGAAATATTTGCTTTTAGAGCCTCTGGAGCCCTGCAGGACATGAGCACATCTGCTAAAAGGACCTGCTTATGCTGCGGAAGAGACGTGCCAGAAAACCCTGGAGTGCAAAAGCAGCCCTGGGAGATGCCTCGGTTTTCCAACTTTTTAAAAAATTATTATTTTAATATTTGTATTTGCASTCTTGCAACTGCCCTGACTGTCAGTCATCGTAGCAGTTGTCTCTATGCAGGTGTCTCCTCGTATCTCGTCTCCGCCGCATCTTCCTGGGTATTGCACAGGTTTTACCCCCAAATCAGCCACCGATTGGGTGGAAAACACCCTATTTGCCTTTTTTTCCCCCCCACTTTTTTCCGTCTGTGTCAGTGGAGGGTTGGATTTCCCGTCGTCTTTCTCAATGGCCATAAAATACAACCGAGAGCGGGTGCCTGCAGCCAGCTGGAGCCTGGTTGTGGAYCACACAATTAATCTAAAATAGTAAAAAAACTCAAATAATGGGGYTGGGAGAGTATTATTACTACTTCTAAAATTCTCCTGGGTCAACAGGAGTTCTGCCACTAAAGGGGGCAGGCAAAGCAGGTTTATATATAGATATATTACAGGTGCTTGTTGACTTTTTTGTTCTATTTGTAATTTTGTCCATGTGAGCAGTGTGTTGGTTCAGAACCCGACCTTTCTTCCACACCAAACTGGCAGATGCACATTGGAAAGCAAGGAGAGAAAAGCAAAGCAGTGCRGTGCCTGCCCTGCGAGCAACACGCCAGGGAGCCTGGTAGGAAAGAGCTGGAAATTAGGCCGTAGAAAGACAAAATTCTCTCCTTCTGGGCTGCTTTTGCTCACTGCTTGTGTGGTGGGTGATGGTCAGTGATTGCATTATTCCAGAATGGGTGTAAATTCCCATAGGTTGGGGATGAAGGCAATCAGGAAAGTTCTGCTCGGTGCCTCTCTGTGTGTTTGCTTCCCAAATATTCTTCCTAATTAAAGCTTGGAGCTGTGCATGGAGCAGGGAAATAGGGGAGAGAAAGGGAACAAAATCATTCGTGTTGTCCTCAGACTTTGTGCCTTTGCTCCTCCCGACCTGTCAGGACACGGGACAGACTGGAGGCTTTTGCTTTGCCCTTTCTGTGCCGTTTTTGCCCCAAAGCAGGATGAAGGCGACTCCGACCTGGTGGGCTGTCGTCCCTTCCCAATGCAGCTCTCCTCSGCTTTCCCCTCTTCCTTGCTTCCATCCTGCTGCTCCCAAGGGTGAGAGCTCAGGAAACTTAAAACAAGCTATGGGGAGTCGCAGGCAGCTCTTGGTGACAATCCCAGGAGCCTCGGGAAGGGTTTTATCCCTGGGAAAGCAGAGTGTCGCATTGGACAATCTGGCACCAGCAMCCCAAGCCCTTCCCGTCTCCCACCAAAATCGTATTTTTTTTCACTGACAGAAGACCAGAAGATTACGCTTTATGTTAAACATGATTAAAATTAAAAAACAAAAATGAGGTAGGGGGAGAAAAAGGAAGATTTAAATAAGTTGGGAATAAGGGTCAATGCCAGTTGAGCCAGAGCTCTGGCTGCATCCTGGAAAGCCGGTCCCGCTCCGGGGGCTCGTGTCCCTCTTGCAGTGCCCCGTCCCCCCTGGCTGCCCTTAACGTGCAGCCACATCCGGGGGTTTTTCCCCTTGGGAATATTTTGTATCTGGTTGTTTTGGGACTGGTTCAAGGATGGGCCRGGACATCCCTGCAGCTTCTCTTCCCACGGGCTTTTTTGCCGACAAAACCGTCCCGACGCTCGTGGCTCTCCTGCTTTTTTTGTGACATTTACCTTTTTTTACAGGGGAACTGGTAAAGGCTATTGGAGAGTATTTTTATTTTTTACATTTAGGGAAAAAAAATAATATTTTTGCAGGAATGACAGCAGACTTCTACAGTGTCCATCTGATTTGGTGGCATTTGGCTTCCCTCACCCCCTCCCTTATCTTTACTATTATTTTTAACCTTGCTTCCAAGCAGATCCTGACCATTTGACTTTTCCTCCTGGCACATGAGGCTTTAAGACCTTCCCGAGCTCTTTGGGCCCAGCGGCAGCTTGTCCTGGCTGCCGAATCCGGCTGGATTCACTCGCCCCTGGCCCGGCACGTATATATATATGTATGTATGTATATAGGAACCTCTCTTGGGCACTAATTGGAGGCTGGCGACTGTGATGCCCCGCAGTTGGACCTTAAGGAAAACCATGTTTTTTTAACCCAAAGTTAGGGCAGCGTTGGGTTGGTGGAGGGTGCAGCGTGGTCCTCGGTGGGGGACACACTGCTGTATCAGTGACTCTCTTGTCTTGCTGGAGCTTTTCTCAGCTGTCTTCCAAGTATTATTTTTATTGTATAAAAGAAAAAGAAAAAAAAAGGATTTTTTGTAAAAATTTTAAAGAAGTGAAATGTAATTTTTACAGCAGCAATACAAAATATATTTTATAAGAAATAATTAAAAAAAAAATGTTGGCTGGTGGCTTATGGTCTCTGCCTTGGCTTTGGCGTCCCGTGTCCGGGCTGGTGTTCCCGGCGTTCCCGCGGCGCTCCGGCCCGGACCACGGCGCGTGGCACCACTAGGTAGCAGTGTCGGCCAGGCGCTGGGCGGCAGCGCGCCGGCCTCGCCGCCGCGCATGGCGGCGCTCCTTCCTTTTAGGTGTTTTTTTATTGCCTTTCTCYGGGAAAAATCCAGATTCCCTCCAGTTTCTATTTGCAGGGAAGGGTGGCAGGGAAAGGAAGGGGGTTCCGAAGGGATAACAGCAGAAGGGCTGAGGTGGGAGCAGYATTGGCCACCGAGCGGCTCCAGCCGCCCGCAAGTCGGAGCGGTTTCCATGGCAATGCTAAAAATAGTGCCGTGGCTCTCGCTGGAGATGCCAGTCAGCGCCCCAAATCCATGGAATAGGCCCCTGAATCCATGGGCTTGACCCTCACCGCTCCCTCTCCTTTATGTGGCCAATGCCCTGGCTTGCGGCTCCACGGGAGGTGGGAAAAATTGGGATGCAGAGACATGCAGAAGGCTCYGAGGGGGATAATTTCATAATAAGTGATACCGTGCGCGACAAGTTGGGGCAAGCCAGGATCCCGGCACTTTCCCGGGATGCGAAGCCCTGCTGCTCTACATCTGCACAACGCGGAGGAGATTCGGTGCAAGGCGTGACAGGAGCCGGGCAGAAACCCTCTCCCCTCTGGAATAYCCCCACATTTTGCAATATCCCAATATATTGCAATAGCTAGCAGGTGATATCCCACATATCCAGCCTGTAATCACTGCTTCCTTCTTTGCTGCACTGGAGCCAGCCCGCATTTCCAAGCCTGGCATCTCCCACCCTCTCTGTATCGGGGAACTCTTGGATACTTTGGGCATCCTTCAAGCATTAATACTCAAAAAAGCTTCTTCCCCCCTTAAAACCTGCTTTTTTTTAAACCACTTTCACAGGGATTTGTGTAACTTCTGGGAAAACTATCCATGTTTTTGGGAGCTGCAAGGGGAGCGGGGTCAGCAGGGCCCTGCGCTGCYGCCGTTGACCCGAGTGATCGGTTGCCAGTCGCAAGGATATAGTAGAAATAGTAAACTAATTTATTGATTTTTTTTTTTTTTTTGCTATGTACAAGTTTAATGGAGAAATCTTTGTATGAAACAATTAAAAAGAACAGGTTCTTTTGAGATATATTTTTTTGACGGCTTTTTTGTTTTTTACAAAGAGTTAGGGGCAGTGCTGCGGGTGAGACCCCGGCGAGGCGCTTCCCCGGTCATGCTTTCRGCAGCGGGATAGGCAGGAGGAAAGCGCCCCAATTCCCGGGCGTCATCCTGGGAATTGCCCAACCCCAAATAAGCCCCTTTCCCGCCCCCGCCGCGGTGGGACAGCAGCTGGGACACAAGACATGCCATGGGCGGGGGACAAGGGACACATGGACACGGCCGCATCGCTGAGCAAAGAAGTCAACCCCGGAGACCGCAAGGAGAAGCGCCCTCAAAAATAAAGGAAGGTTTAAAATGGATGAAGGAAAATGSTTCCAGGTGCTTTCTCGGAGCAGCTTTTAATGCCCACGGCCCTCCTGCACGCCCCGCTCGGGGAAGGGGACGCTGGGAACATTGAAGACCCGATGGCGTTTCAAAAACCGCAGCGCCCGTTCGAGGTACCACAGTGACGGAAAAGCTCCAATGCGTCCTTTTCCAGCGCGGTTCCTCCCTCCCAACCCACCTCAGGTCTGGATTAGGGGTGTTTCCAGCGGGACTAAAATTTGGCAAAAATCCTGCCAGATTTGTTTTTATTTTACTTTTTTTTTTTTTTTTTTGAATTGTATTTTTCTTTCTTTCCCACCCAAACGATATCCCTCCCCACAGTCCGCTGCCCCCAGGGAGCCAGGGGGCAAAATCCTGGCTCCGGAGGCCGCCCTTCTTCACGTGCTGGTTTGAGCGGCTGCGGTCCCGAGCTCTTGAGGAGGAGGAGGAGGAAGAGGAGGARGAGGAAGAGGAGGAGGGAGAAAAGTGATTGCCGAACGCGTGCGAGTCTGGAGCGCTTTTGGGGGGGTCCGTCAGGGTGCAAGGTGGAGGCCGGCTAGGTGGACACAGGAGCGGGGTTTAATTTTGCCTGTGCCTGGCAGCGGGAGCCGGGAGGCGGTGCCGGAACGCTACAAAAAATAAAGAAAAAAAGGGGAAAAAAAAAAAAAGGAAAGAAAAAAAAGAAAAAAAAAAGAAGGAAAAGAAAAAGAAACACAAGAAAAACAAAAAAACGGGAAAAAAAGCAGCTGAGCGGAGAGCGCAGCGGGCCTGGGGGCAGCTCGGCCCGCGAGCTGCTCTCTCCCCCGGGGGGCTCCGGCAGTGGGGATGAGGCCGGGGGGTGTCGTGGCAAAGCCTCTTAGAGAACTAAAAAAAAAGAAAGAAAAAGAAAAAAGTGTTTTTTTTCTTTAATTCCCTCAATTATTTCATTTTATAGGTATTTTATGGGTATTTTTTCTTTCTTTTGCCCCTTTTTTTRGAGGGGTGGTGTGAGGGGGGGCCTGAAACTTCCTTTCACCCATCGTTGTGATGAGGTTCAGCCAGGTCTCTGCCTACTGGAAAGGGGCTGCTCCCAGGGCCGCCATGCAATTAAAAACTACGTCCTTCAACGCTGAGCAAAGCCATGGTGGCACGGGAGGACGGGCTGCTGCCAAAATGGAGGRGTCAAGCTCCTCCGTGGGGAGACCCCATTTTGTGGGGAGACAGAATGCACTCCAAATTTTTAAATTTGGCATTTTTTTCCCCTCGGAAAACATATTTCTTCCCCATGCTGCCACCTCCCCWGCCTGCCGCAAGGAGCTGCCGCCTCAGCGCTGTGCAACCAAAATGGCGCCCACTGAGGGGGAGAAGCTGGGGGTGCAGGGAGTGGATGGCAGGGCCGCAGAGCTAAAATTGAAATAAAAACCATAAAAATAACAGCCGCAGGCTGGGCCAGAGTGGGTTGGGGCCTTGTGGGGAGCAGGAGCCAAGGTGGGGAGAGAGGCACTCGCTGCCTCTCATGAGGTGGCCGCAYTGGGCGCCATTTTGGGCGTCTGCGCCTGGCGCCATTTCGGGTGCTGGCGTGCGGGGAGGGAAGAGGATGAGGAAGGGTTGACTTTTTTGGCCGCTTCTAAAGGGGCCGCGGGGTCGGCGGGGGGCTCGGCGCGGGCGGCTAGATCTCGTTGTGCTCGTTCAGGTCGGCGGCTATGTCGTACTCACTGGAGCGGGGCGCCATGCCCAGGTACTGCTTGAGGAACTCGCTAAAGCGCTTCTGGTTGTTCCACTTGCGCGCCGACTTCCTCACGCCGATGAAGCCCCCGTAGCGCTTCTGCACGTCGCGGG